TTCAGCTGACATACTTTCCAGAGCATCCAGAAACTCTCTCTGGAAGACCCCCATTTGATGTGCACAACTTCAAAACATGCTGGGTTACAATTAACAAATTCTCCAGAACTCAGGGAGTTTCAGCCTCACTTCCAGATATTCCCCAAGAATGTAAACTGATTTCCCCCCAAAATATGCAGGGCTGTGGTCAACAGGGCTGCGCCTGGGATGCTGTTACCCTCTTGATCTCTAATACCTGATCACCTCTCTCATGCTGAGAGCACTCTTCAGTTTCTGAATTATTATTTTTCTTATTCATTCTCCAGTTTGTGAGTTTCCACACCACATTACTGTTTAACTATTTAATTTAAGATCAATAAAAACTGGCTTCTGCTTGTTTGCTCTCTCACAGGAACTGTATCTGCCCCTAACCTTTCTGGATGTACCAAGATAGACCTGAAACCAAGAATCACCTTAAGGGTGCAGAGGTCATCTTCCTCAAAAGAACTCTTCATCCCCAAGCTGTTTAAATTACAGAGTCAACTTAGACCTTAGGTCACAGGTTCATGGTAGAAATATGAGTAAGGCTTGGGTATGCTGTGCTAAAGTTAGACCTACAGTCTCTTTAAACTGAAGTGCTTGATACAAACAAGCCATCTTCCCACTGTTTTTTGGCTGTAAAGAGAGTGATTCACACCCAAAGGCTTCAGAGTGGCTCTAAGACCCCACGCTTTTATCTCTTGAACTGTTTTCATTTCAGCTAGGTCTAATAAAAGGAAAATGGCCAAACATGCCCAAAATTTGGCAACTTAGGATATTTAGCAGAATCTTCCTCTAGTTTGCCTAACAAGGCAGCCATGTCACAGGGGAAGCTGTCCAAATAGAAGTTTTGCTAGAAAATTATTCCAATTCCTGAAGAAAAGTACTAACAGAGAGATGGTGATGTGCAAACTCACAAGGGCACTCCTTGATGTGCCACGTCTTTGACCAACAGCACCTTGTACTAGCATAAGCCTCAGCAAGTTCTTTTCTCCCCACCTTGCTCTTAGTCATTCC